GAAAAAAAAAGGGTAAAATCGTTGGACTTTTACAACTGCATTCTTACCTGTATGTGGTAATTGAGGAAGTCCCATGCTGCTTCTTTAAGGTTTGCACAAGAATATGTGCATGCCAACTGGTACATGTCTAAACAGTTCATAACATGAAGGTTTTTCTCCATGTACTCTGCACAGAAGTGGACAACTGGTGCAACTTGAAGAAGATTGGCAGCAGAAAACACATTCTGAACATTGTCATTGTTTAGACTAATGGCTCCGGTGTAAACAAAGTCCAGTATAAGCTGTAACGACAAAGGTTCTACATCACCAAGACACACCACACTGCAGCTACCTGTTGATTCCTACATTGGTGTACAGATAGAAACAAGTAAATGCATGTTTTGGGAAATGTGCATTAGTGTTTATCATGTTTATAATCAACTAACCAAAGTAGAGTACCTGTGATATTTCCACACTCTCCCCCCTACATTAGGCCAAATGTTTGTACATAAATTGTCTACTTTATTGGCATCAAATATCCTGTGTATATCAGGAACATCAAACAGCCTTATAAAATATGCCAACAAAAGTGGTAATTTCAATCATTAGTTCATTATTATATATTAAAGGTACAGTGTAAGAGGACAACAGATCTAAGATTGGCAAGCTCTCAACATTCAAGAAGCATGAATAAAGACTCCATCAGAAAGGTACTTTCTCTGATGTGGACTATTCAGAAGCTTTCATACCTAATTAAATGTACCATACCTGCATACCGCCTGTGAACATGGCCTTGAAGTATGGGCTACATGCTGCCAGCACAATGCGATGACATGAAAATTTCTCACGACCAACTTGAAGTGTAACATCAGTAAGGAGTTTCTCTCTGCGTAGGTGACTAAGTCCAGTCAGGAGCATGTTGCTATGGTTAGAATCTGCATAGCGGATTACATCTGAGTCTTGGAATGTTCGCAATGCTTGCAGACTATCATGACAATTCTTGCTACTCGTTATGGTCTTCGTTTCCACACCAGCCATCATGCACACGTGCAGTATGAATCAAACACCAAGCTTCCATACATGCATACGATGATGGATACGGTGCATGTACATCCGTGTACATTTGCAAGAATCTGAACAAATCATAAAGAATATTAACAACTTTTTATCTGTTTTCACAAATGTATCAGTCTTATTACCTGTACATGTACTTTATATACATTTTAAATTACAATGCACAGTGATGATTCTGTTTACTGTAGATTCAAACTTGGCATGTCAGCTTAAGAGCGGTCAAGTACATTCCTTCCCATTCATAAATACTTAAAGAGCATCTTAGATACTTAATCTTAGATACTTAACCTTAGATACTTAATCTTAGAGAGTCAAAAGAATTCGGTAAAAGTTGTAGAATGCACCTTCATTTGACTGTGCATCAAGATAAAACTGCCTCAGTAGGTCATTCAGTGTACCAGGCTTGAGATTCTCACAGGTTTCTAGGTTTTCAGCTTCTGATGAATACAATTTTAAGACTCTTGTTGCAAAATTGTTGGCCTACAGAGTGCTTTTAAGCATGGGGGGCATCAATTTCTCCAGCTGAGTGAGTTGCAAATGTTTCAGTTTTACTTTATTCACAGTCCTCTTAAAGGGACTTTACACATGCAATCCTGGAGATAGTTGGCTTTTGAAAAGGAGCTGGGAAATGTAATTTAATTTTAACTGGAAACCGAAAGGCCAAAAGGCACAGAGAGGTGCCATTTTGGTATCCACCACAGTAAGGACCGTTTTGGAGGAGAAATTTTGATTGAGGTACAAGCTACTGTACATGTATTTGAGTGAAATCAATTAATGGTAAACGAGGCCTAGGCTAAACATGTACATGTATATGAAAGGTTCCAGGACCTAACTATTGTACATGTACATCTGACTATTGCCAACCATGTCCGAGTGTTAAACAAGGTGATTCGTAGATTCAAACACCATCATATCCTATATGTACATCTGTTCATGCTGAAAGCCTGGTTTAGTCACTTTAAAGTCGGGGCTTCCTGTAGCCAGAAAAAAAGGAGAAAAAATTCCAGCAGGCCTCTAGCCTATTCCCATAACACTGAGTGCTACGTGTCCTCATGTGTTTATACAAGGCATCATTTACAAAGATGGTGCCTGGGCCAGGCAATGGAAATGATTTTCATCAGAGACAGCTGTCAGGAACTTGTCAGTAGCCTGTTTCAGCTGTCTTTGAAGTGTTATTTGGGAGGGGGTGTTGTGGCTTGGGCAAGTGGCAAGACCCTCCCCCCAAATCAGCAAATCGAGATAGCCTGGGAAATAAGGTCCTGACAGTACTGTGATGTACTTTTTGTGGGTTTTACTAGCTGTAGAAGCTAGAGGACAACCAATGAAGTACTCAAATGCCCTTAGAAAGGAATCTGGGCTCTGAAACCTGAGAAATGATACGGCTTCTTCAGAAGAGCAGTATGAGCAATATCGAAAAACAAATTCAAAACGGTATCGCAGAATATATGCTCCATGAGTTTTGATGCTACACAAGTAAGGCTGATAGGATGATAATTTGCTGGAAGATATACATGTATTTCTGACCTTTCTTGAAGACAGGAGTAATGTTGGCATGTTTCCTATTAGCAGGTACTGTACTTGCCCGTCATGAAGTGACTTCCGTAATATTGTTAAACGTGGGTTTGCTATGACGATTTCTTGGACAATTCCTTTAGAACTCATGGGCTGATGTTGTCGGGGCCTCCAGCTTTACCTTGTTTTCAATTTTTTAATAACTTGAGTACACCTGGTTTGTTCATGCTGACATCCGGCATGGGGGTATAACTGAGTCTGGCATAGGAAAGGAAAAATCAGTTTGTTGTGTCACAACTGACTGAAATTATTTGTTTTTAAGTTTTGTTGCGCATCTGTGGTCAGCTTGCCATCAACCTTCAGAGGGGAAACAGAGTAAAATCAGATCTCTGGAGTTTAACATACATGTATGTCCCAAATCACTTCATGCTACAAAAATTAATGGCATCTGTTGAACATGGGATAGTAAGATTTTCTACATAACCCCAGTAGGCTTGGTGTACCATAACTCACACTGGACACCTGCCTTGAGTTTTTTAACTATAGCTTCCTGATGACGTCAACCAAATCTTTGGTTTATAAACATGTACTTTATCCTTTTAATGAATTTTCCCTCTGAGCTGTGCAGAGATCCATGGATGAGAGTCCTTGGTTTTAGTTGATCTGTAAAGAATGTACTAAATTACTATATAATTGGATCCCTTCATGAATGCCTTTCTAGTATGTCCCACAGCTGATCAACTGTTGAGGTGAGTTCAGCCACTGCAATACTAAGGGAATAAATATGTGCTTGACTTGTCTTAAACATACATTTAACACAGGCTCAGGAGAATGGACACAACAAATGCCTGGGCTGTCGGCAAGGGCATTACCAGCGTTCCTTCTCCTGAGCAAGGTCTTAAATGACTGCCCAAATGCACATCTATTCCCATTCATAAATAGTCAAAAGAAGTCAACATATGATGGATTTCCAATGATATTGTTCTAAAATTTTACTTTCATTTTCCCAAACACCCCCATTTTATGGTATATTCCTTTTGAAAGTTGTCCAATAGAGTCTCCTTGTGTATGGACTTAGCATGCACATAGCCCATTCTGTGTGTTTCATCGCACACAGACTCATGACCAATAGGGTCAGGATGGAGTAAAACTGTCTTGTATCCATGTACTAGTGCGTGTTTTAAGCAGTGAGCATTATCAATTCTCAGTGGGAATTATCAGATGTGAATACACAGTCAAGTTGTATGTTGTTGAATAAGAACTCGTTGAATAACCACATGCTGCCGGGTGCTTTGAAAAATGCAGTGCACACACTATACGGGCAATTTTCAAGATTTTCAGTTTTCAAACTTCTTCAAAAATTCATCATTTCATTTAATGGACATTTACATCCACACAAAGGACTGTTTGGTGGCCACTCTAGTCTGACGGACAAAATCTATTGACACCCAAGTATTTCAGCCAGGCCTGCAGCCTTGCAAAAAGAGCCTAGATTGTGCAACGTTATGCAAGTTTCTTTTGTTCCTGAAACTGGCACGTGACTTTCTTACTGTTAAACTAACCATGCAAATTTAAAATCCATCATGTGGCATGTGTTAGAACATTCAGTTTCCCCTCAGAATTTCCCTCAAAACCCTGCCCTCTTTTAACAACATCAACCCAACAGTTATTGAGCATGACGTCACAGTCATCTCCCAAGGTGAATTCAAAAGTTAAAATGTAGCTCTCCCATCTATTATAGGAACAGGGTCCCCAAATTTACGACCTCCATTAACATACAAAGATACTAAAAAACAACTATAATGCTCGAATCACAAAAATATAAGATTATCTGTGCAAATACATGTATAACCAATGAAATATTTAAATACACAACAAGGAAAAATCTCTACTCTGATCAAGTTCCTGACTATAGATTAAATTTTAGTAGGCAAGACTTGATTGGAGTAGGGTTACATACATGTGCGTGTACATGTACATCCACCTAGCACTTACGGTAGGATGTCCCTTTAATAGACCAAGTTCATACTGTATTGATACATCCCAGGTTCGTCTCTCTACAGATGACTGCCTTCTGTATCGCCAAATTAACTCAAGAAATGACCACATCATCCTACAGCAGTTGCGGGGCTGGTGCCTGCACTTCCCTATGATTCTTACTTAAACCCCCCCCCCCAAAAAAAGGCAGAAGAATTAGACCAAGAAAGTCAGACAGTTCACTCTCATCAAATGTATACTCAGTTCCTACTTCATATTACAAGTATCGTGGTAATTCTGTTATTGCAGTATTGGAAAGTTTGAATTTCGCATTGCCAGTGAGTTCCTAATCTGCAACATTTGCCCAGGTAATTAATAATTTATGGCCTGAAGATACGTTTTATTGAAACAGAGAGAAAAAAATCTTTCCATAAGTTTCAACAAATTTTAATAAAAGATGTAATTTTTCCAAAATTTGTAAATTCTCCTTGACTGTGTTTGTCATTACCTACTGTCTATCTCTTTAATAGTTATTTATAACGGCATCCTGCCATCAGTCAAATTAAGGGCTCCTGCGATGAAATTATTTTGCATGCGTAAAGCACGTCTCTCAATCTCTGTTACAATGGACTTGTATCAATCGTACTGTTACCCTCCACTCGGGGCAATTAGCAAATCATTACGTAAGCACTATTGTCACGATTTTTGTTTTGCTTTTCTAGTACAATTTGAAAAATTACAAGAGATATTTAGAATTTGTAACATAAATTTTTAATAAAATTGTCCAGGTCTAATAACTCCCATCTCATTCCCTCGGCCTTTGACATCTTTGAGGAAACTGCAAAAATGGAGTCAATTATAGGTAAAATGGAACAGTATCACAAAGTGAGGCTATTTTTTTCCTCGGAAACCACAAAATTGTTCTTTTTATCTTTATTTATTCACATAAATGTGCTTTAAAGGCCACCGTAGAAGTTATTTTTTGATGCTGCAATTAAAGAGACTCCACTTCCGCTTGCATATGGTGCGCAGACAGATTCTCTAAGTTATCGTAGAGGACAAATAATTAAACCACCAAAAAAATTTATGAATCAAGATTCTCCGTTGGGATAGCAACAAATCCAAACCAATCATAAGCGAGGGGGTCAGCATACATTAAGCTCCATATTTTAAGCACTGCCATTTTGCTTTGAGTGAGTTTGACCATTCGGCCTTGATGAACTTCTAGTTGCAAGTGTTACTCCAACGTCTGCACCATCCCCCACCAACAAACATCATAGTTGTCATCTCACCACTTATTGCCCTCATGAAAAACCAGATGGAATATTGCATAAGCTTTGGAGTTAATGCCGTTTATTTTGGAGACTCATCTGCTTCAACTGTTTACATCATTTATAAATAATACATATAAGAAAACTTATGAATAATTCAACACAAAAACCTCAAAATCAATTTGGAAAAGGCCTCATAGCTGCGCCACTCGCCTGGTCTCCTGTCCAGTCGCTTTGCAGCTACACACACAGCCACGAAGGCCTTGACGAAAGGCTAGGAATTTTGCAGAATTTCTTCCAAAATACGCTGTTTGCGGGTGTATTTAGTAATTTCAACACAGCATTTATGGAATTCGAGATACAAGGTACTTGTGAGTGACATTTTGAGCTGTCGTCAGGTAAAAATGTGAGAAAAAACTGCTGAAAAAAAATTCACATAGCAGGAGGACTTTTATACCTTGGACGTTAGTCACAATGCAATGCAGACATTGTCTAACTACATGTACTTCAAGAACTCAAAGTCACAAACTTTGTGATACTCCGTCTGACTTCGAGGAAAAAAGGCTTAGGCCTACATGTACGTGGCGTTGTAACGCTATGGGGTTTTGGAATCGAATTTTTGTGGTGAAATGGTATTATGGTTTACAGCCCTGAGAAAGTTATTAAACCAACTTTTCCTCTGTCAGCATATCTGCTTGATCTATACCTTCTAAAAATGGGATAGCAATAGTTTGAGCATGAGACGTAATATGTTTGGAAAAAAAATGGGAAAAAACGTTGCATACTGACTCCACTTTTCTCATCATAATAGGCCTATCATCTCAATAAAAGTCAGTCGGAAAAAAAATGTAGCATCCTGACTCCACTTCAGCAGTTGTGTGCAAAGTCTATGGGGAGTGGTGAGAATTTTGTAAGTATTTCCCAACACCATCGGTCATATCGGTAGGGCCTAAATGTTTCTCAGTCCAGAATTTGTATCGGAGTATAGTCAAACTAGGGCTACGTCATTAGAGATAACTTCATGTGTTTTGGCAGCTTATTCCAATCTCTTGCCATCTTACGAAAGAATGATGATGGGACTTTGTCACAGACTGAGAGATGACAAACTGATTTGTCTTGCAGCTCCACTTGGCAATATCTAAGCAAGAAAACCGCAATTTTCTTACCCGAGTTGAGCGAAAGACGACTGCATTTCACGCCGTTTCGTTTCACGTCTGGTTACCCGACTCAGTGCAGTCATTGTGGATATACGAAATATCATGACAAAAAGCGTCATCCAGGTCAGGGAACGAGATTACATTCGCCAACACTGCCTTCAACAGGCTGAAGGTAGCCCGCGGTGCAGCCCGAGATTCAGCCCACGATTCAGCCCGAGATTCAGGTTTACGTCAATAACAAAACTCCATGGAGTTAAGGGAGGCAGAAATTCTCCACTTTGCGGTACTCTTTTCCACGATGAAAAGAACGATTTTTTTTTAAGAATAGCAGTTTTTCTTGATGAAACTGAAAAAAATAAGATCCATTGAAGGAAACAGTTTTATAATCAATCTGATTTCATTGCTTATAGGCAAGTTTCATTTCTTTTATTTGGGGGATGGCTCTAGGCCATTCACACCCTAGGATTTTCAGTAGAGACTATTCCATTGTTGTAACTTGATTTGAGAAAAAAATTGCCAATAAATGTGCTTATTATAATGCATCATGTTTTTATTTCATTTTTCCACTTGATGCATGGAATGGCTATATGGAATGCCTATTTCTGTATCAAAACGCCTCTCAAAGATATCCCGTTTTTAGGATACAAGAATGCGCATTTTGCCACAGTTTGTTATTAAGTGTTATTTTAGATGAAATTGTACCCTACTTGTTGCGAAATATTTTCCTTTTCTTTGCATGACTCAATAAGCAGACTACGGAAGCTTAAAGTGACCATCCACATTACCGCGTTTCCGAGATAAATAAATTATCGTGGAAAGAGGGAATACCCTGAAATTTCCGACGTGTTTCTCTGATAGCGTGATTGGGAAAGACGTCTTCTCAAGATACAATATCATGGAAAGACGGCTCTCCAAAATAAAATATCACAGGAAGACGACTTTCCAAGATAAAATATCACAGGAGTGCGTCTTTCCGAGATACGATATAACGGGAAAGACGTCGTTCTAAGATATGATATCATGGAAAGACGTCTTTCCTAGATACGATGTCACAGATGATTTCCTATCCTGAAATGATGTCTTTCCGAGATGTTAATCTTTGAAAGTCGCCTTTCTGTGATAAGTTAACATGGAAAGACATCTTTCCAAGACAAAATATCCTTGAAAGACGTCTTTCCATGATGTTATATCTTGGAAAACCGTCTTTCCGTGATATTATATCTCGGGAAGATGTCATTCCCAATTACACTATCAGAGAAACACGTCCGAAAAAAAACAAGGTATTCCGTCTTTCCGCGATAATTTATCACAGAAACGCAGTATTGTGGATGGTCACTTTAAGCTTCCGTAGCAGACCAACAGCCACACTTAATTTCATATATGCAATGCCGATTTCCGTGTCAAAACGCCTTTCAAAGATATCCCGTTTTAGGACACAAGAATGCGCATTTTGCCATTATTTGTAATCAAGTGGTAATTTAGGTGCAAATGTACCCTACATGTTAAGAAATATTTTTCTTTTCTTCGCATGACTCAAAATAAGCAGACCACTAGCCACACTTAATTTCAGTATGGGAATGAATATTTCTGTGTCGAAACGCCTTTCAAAGAATACGATTGCTGTAACTCTACGTGTTAGAAAATATTTACAACTATAATTAACCGTCCCTTCCTGTTAGTAATGCAACTGTTACCGACAGGTGTTATTGGAAATACTCTTGAAAAATCACAACAGATGTCACCCTTGACTTAGAAACAAATGTCGCCAGTTATTGACTAGATAAAACCTCAGTGGTTTACCGTCTCC